CACTATTTATTGGGTGAGTAATACTCAGTATGCTATAATTTGTATTCTAGTTTCATGCAGACAAATGTTTCCCCCACTAGCCTGTGAGCTGTCTAAGGGGAGGGTGGGTTTCATTGCGAGGTCCCTCTCCCCACCCCCTGCGGAAATGTCTATCATGGTGTCTCACAAACAATAGATGTTTGATATTTGTTTGTTAATGGAATGATGGAAGCAAAGAATCACCCACCTTAAGTATGGAGACAAAGAAGCCAGGTCGTGCAGGAGAGCCTTGCTAGTGTTAAAGGTGGGCATAGCGAACACCATGATGTCTACTCCAGGTCTCCTGCCAGCAGTGCCCAGCACACTGATACCTGCTCTTCTTTTCTTCCTGGTAGGAAGTACATTGGAGTGTTAGCCTCCCTGGGGTTGATCCTCAACCAGTAGGGGAATGAATTGGTAGATAAATGCCCCAGCCTCCTTGGCCTCTGGTCAATGTGGTCAGACTAAGACAATGCCAGTAGTGTTGAAGTAGGAGCTGGAGAGTAGAGCATTTAAACATTTACAAGGTCAAGAACAGGGATTTATTTGAAAATCCCATCCTAAACCTTTATTTTCAGTATCCAGCAGTGTCTGGCATCTAGTAGGTGCTCTGTGGATGCTTAGGGAATCAACAAACATGCCTTTGATGGTGGGACTGAGCAATCTTCAGAGCTTGCTCAAAGGTGAGAATGATGTTAACTGTTAAATCTTCCTACACACTCACACACACACACACACACATGCACACACACACACACACACACACAAACACACACACACACACACGCCCTTTGAATTTCCAAAGAACTCCTTTCTCCTTTACCTCCTAAGAGATTTGGGAAGTAACAATTCATCAGTGCCCTCACTGATGTAGGAGGTTAGGCCAGGATGGCCCTCTGAGATCATCTAGTCAAATCCAATCAATCCCTGAACTGGGGCCAGAGCCCCAATCTTCCACCTCCCAGTGTCCAGTCCTCTTTCCACAGTAGCCACTGAGAACATTCCAAAAAAGTAATTTTGGAGGCTAACAGCCGTGAATATTTTCAGATTCAATTTCAGCAAAGTGTTACCATTTAAGAAAGTCTGCCAAAAAGATAATGCAGATGAAAATGTACTGTGTAAACTGTGAAGTGCTATCCAAACGTTAGCTATCTGAGGTCCACTGCCAAGGTCAACAAGGCCTGGGTGTAGAGCCAGCTCTTAAATTGGAGGAGCTAAGTAAAGGCTGGTAATTCAATGGGCCCCTTCCGAATGGGACACTGGTGTCTTTGCTGGGATCAGGACACAGTGGCTTGTCTGTGTGCCTCTTTCACCCCCATCCCGCTAAGTACAATACACTTGCGTTGAATAAGATCAATGCTTACATTGTATATGTGATAAAACTGATGATTTGCCAGCTTCTATTCCTTTTGCTTGTGTTTTAGAAGCCACACACTAAGCTCCAGCCACCTGTACCACCGGGCAACGGACTGTCTCTCCAAGGTTTCCAACTGTCTGGGTACGTGAGTGTTTTTCTCCCACATTAGTTTACATTTGTCCCAGCTGCACTACAATTTAGATTCTGCACATACTCTGGCTCTCAAAACCGCATTCTTTTGCCCTCACACTACTCCTTTGTCATCTAACAACTGAAAAAGCATTGTCTCCTTGACTTGGCTCGAGAAACGGGACCTCGATGAAGAGTAAACTTCACATTTTCTGGGCTTGCTTATCCTAGTGCCCAACAGGAGAAGGGAGGCCCAGTGTTTGGTGACCTCCTGCATTAGGTTAACGATCTGGATATGGGCCCAGGGGGATAATGAGCCCATGAATAATAGGGAGCTGATTGTCAAAGTCTTATCATGGTGAAGCTGAGTGGCAGAGCTTGCTTTGTCCTGGCTCCCTTGCCTTCTCCCCGAGCATCTCTTAATCTGTCGAAGCCAATGGGTTTATGTGGCAGACATTCATTCCTCACAAGCTTCCATTCAAGCGGCTGTGCACCAATTCAGGCTCAGATGTTTCTACACTTAGGGCTTGTAAAACAGTGAAAGAAATATAGCAGATAAATTCACAGAAAGCCTTCTGTTATAGGCTTGAAAAAAAGATCTACTTATTTCTCTACTGTAACAGGAGTCTTGAAAAGCCCAAATTAAGGTGCAGAAAAAGGGTGAAATGAGAACACTAAAAGGCCTAATACTGCAGAGAGCCCCGCAAACTTTTCCCAAGTGATATATATATTCCCGAAATCATGAGTTAAATTCATCTCACCTGCATTCTCTAATCAACGTTGTTTTAAGACTTGCCATGTCCTCCAAGGAGCACGGTGGCCTAAACAATGTTTGCCTGAGATATTCTCGGGAACTTGGAATCAGCTGTGTATCTAGTTGGAGCTGGGCTGGTTAAGACTGGACAGGAGCACGGACCCTCCAACTGGGCATGCGCGGTGTCCGCTGGGTGACCTTTCGACACAGGGCTGAAAACTCCACCCTCAGGATGTGCAGAGGCCTATAGTAGCCTATTGCAGAACCTCGATTCCCGCACCTTTTTCCAATCACCTTTCCCCGTGCTCCCCACGCCTCAGTCGGCCCTGACGCTTGATTCCTAAACCTATAAATACCCCTGCCCCTTGCCTTGTAGGAAGCAGTTTCCAGACTTGTTTTCTTGTTTCCTCTCTTCGCTACTTTCCTATTAAGCCCTCTTTCTGCTGCAAACCTCGGTGTCTCAGCATTTTGGCTTGCTGAGCATTAGAACGAACCTGGTTCAGTAACATGGTTCAAACTCATGAAGCAAAGGTTTTTACTGCTCTATGGCTGGACTACACAAACAGCCAAAGCCTTCCTAAGTTGTTGTTTTTGAGGGAACAACTATTAGTAAAATTTCTACTCCTTAAGGTCAAACCTCTTGGGGGGGAAAACTAGGGAATGGGTGGTCTTCTGTCTGGTTTTCCAAGAATCCATCTAAGGGGCTGAGCTGGATGTATCTTGGAACTCAAAGTCCTAGCCTAGTGAGTGATCTTTTCATGCAACCCAGGGCCCAGGCGTGAGCTATGCTTTAAAAAAAGTAGACTAAGGGCTTCCCTGGTGGTGCAGTGGTTGAGAGTCTGCCTGCCGATGCAGGGGACACGGGTTCGTGCCCCGGTCCGAGAAGATACCACTTGCCTCGGAGCGGCTGGGCCCGTGAGCCGTGGCTGCTGAGCCTGCGCGTCCGGAGCCTGTGCTCCTTAACGGGAGAGGCCACAAGCGTGAGAAGCCCGCGTACCGCAAAAAAAAAAAAAAGTTGACTGAAAGTTGGCAAGTAGGTGGGTTCAAGGAGAGGGGGTAGTGTCTACTCACCATTGGCTGCGAAACCCGCTCTGCTTTCTACTCCCCTACTCTCTTGGGTCAAATGTTTAGTCAGAGCTTAAGAGATGAGGCGATGGGGCAGTTGTACACAAACTATCACTTCCACAGTCCTAAGGCTAAACAGCTGAGAGGGGGAAAGAAAGATGCCAGGTGGCTTCTGCTTGCTTCAAGATTAGACCACTGAGGGCAAGAAAGAGGCGGGTTTCAGGCACTTAGTAAACTGAAAGCAAACTTCTTTATTGTACACAGTACAGAATATAACGCAGCTTGGCAGGATGCAAACGGCCCTGCGCAGGGGAAAGTATTTCAAATCAACTGGCAGGTTAAAGCCTTTCTGCACTGTAGACTTTCCACACTCTGGAAAGAAGCAAAAACAAGAACAAAGAAACAAAACCATCAGGGAGGTGCATGAATCCGATGGGAATGCAACGGTGATGCTGCCATCCTGTGTCCCGTGACAGCACAGGCCACGTGGCTACAGCAGGGGAGGGGAGCTCAGGCTACAGAGGATTCTTTTCAGTACTTGCTAAGACAGCATAAATCCATCAAAAAAAAAAACCCAACAAAACCCAAACCCGGATAAGTAAAGAAAGGAAAAAACAAATCCTATACAGCATTTACAACAAATTAACCTCTAGCCAGCTGGGGGTAAAATAGGCATCTATGTATAGACTATGTGTAGGTTAGAAAGCTATAAATACCGGTTTGGAAAGTCCTTTGATTAGAATACAATGCTAATTAAGGCCCAAGCTACAGGTTCAATACCTTTGTGGGCTAATTAGCTTCCAAGAGAGGAAAATCTTGTATTTCCATAGCTATAAAATGCACCCCTTGTCTCTGTGACCCTCTTCACAAAATGTGCTCCTGGTCACCAGGGGGACTGTTTGAGACTACAGAGCGGTT